GGGGGGTGCTTCTGGTGCCCATGCTGCTCACCTTCTCTGCCCTAGGAGCCTGGGATGGAGGCGGGGAAGCTTCCTTCCGGGTGCTGGGACCAGCTAAGCTTCACTCAACAATAGCAAATATTAATATCATCATTTTTCTTCTATCTGTACTTAATTTAAGCACATTTTTCCTTTAGCTATTTAATACATTTTGACATCCTTTTACATCAACATACAGAAAACTCCTATCTTTTCTGCAGAGTATTCCACTGTACTGATAAACTAGAATAGATTTCAACCATTTCTCATTGACGGGCATTTAAAATGTTTTTTCATTTTTTGATATCCCAGTATGTATTCTCAGCTATCAGTAAATCAATCATCATAACACTATATGAAACTATCGAGTAGAATACTAAGGGTATACTGAAATCAATGAAAATACGAATGCAGTATTATAGCAATTCTTAACAGACATAAGAAAATGACCTATATTTCTCAATGTTCTATATTGCAAGCAACACCATAGCTCATATGTTAATGGTACAAATTCAATATCTAAACTAAATATGTCTGCTTAACTTAGCTGTGAATTTTGAGTAAGTATCTTCATCTCTCTGTACCTGCTTCCTTGACTGTAGTTAGGACGATAACAGATATTTCATAGTTGCTATAAAGTTTAAATTAATTTAAATACAAAGCTGAATGAATAAATTTGCAATTAAAATCAAAAGGAACAAAAGAATAAATTTTAATAGAATATTTTAGATAAAAGTGTACGATATGGATGGATGAAACAAAATATTCTAAATAAAAGAAAATGACATATAAAAAGAAACTGTCAAATCCATAAAAGTTCAAGTATGTATAACAATGCACCCAACCATCCTCTAATACAAACAGCCAAAGTGAATAAAGTATAACAACAAGCAAACACACATGCATGCAGGCATGCACACAGTAAGATTATATATGACAGGAATCTAAACAGCTAGACAACAGACTTCTGTCAAAAGTCCCGCTTTTCTCACTTTGAGTAGATCCTCTTAAATGATCCAACTAGCCCCTCAATTTGAATATATGAAAAGTATTTTCATTCCAAATCTTGACTATTCTGTCTCTGAAATCTCAAATCATTCCCTATCCTCTTCTATTCTTAATATGTCCTTCTCCAAATCATCTTTTTGTTCCCAATCCCTCCATTCCTCACTACCCACAATCTGTCTTAAACTACAATGAAGTTTTATCCTGAAATAAAATTTGAATCAATCATATTTTTGTCCAAACTTTTTCAGTGGTCCAAACTCCCTCATGTTTAAGTTAAGATCCACTACAACTTAATTTTAATCTCTGACTCTTTCTCTGTCTGACACTATTTTCATGCATCCAATTCAGTGCACTTCCTCCTTGGTGCTCCAGCACAGGCATCACTTTGAACACTCAGTTCATAAGCTTCTGCCTCAGGATACTTTCCAACTTATAGGGAAAAATATACTCTAATAAAGATAAATAACAAGCAGGAATGGAAAGAACCACAACCAATGGCCTTTAAATGGGAAGACAGTAGAGTTGATAAAGGAAGAATTTGATTTCACTTGGGTAATCTTCATGCTTAAAGATGCTAATCTGCCCGAAGGAAATACATTTTGAAAGTTAAAATTTAAAAAAAAACTGCAAAAGAAAATATCTAATAGATGAATATTTGTTCAACATCTTAAAGGTCTAAATAGAATGTTTTGGTGTCAAATATGTAGAGTTTATCTTGAAGTACCTGATTAAACCAAAGAATCCAACTATATAAGGTAATGGTCAATTGTTTAGGAAAGAGGAATTAAAAACTGTTTAATTCTGATATACTTCAGGCTTCAAAGGCCATCAAGTATGGTAAATGTTCTAATTCCTACATCAAATTCCCTAGAACTGAATGGATACAACGCAGGCTCATATTACATAAACACAGTTTAGATTTACTTATTTTCTGGTTTCCTACCACATTACTTTCTTGCTTACTCACAGTTCTGTGAAATAGATTAAACTAGTAATAATTCATTCATACAAGTTTTAACACAATCAGCTACACACCAAATATTTCACTACTATAAAACAAATCACAGGGCCAGGGATTTAGCTCAGTGGTTCCACCGCCTGCCTCGCAAGCAGAAGGTCCCGAGTTCAATCCCTGATGTCAAAAATAAAAAATAAAAAAATTTTAAAAAAATCACAAAGATGCTGTCACATCTTCAAAAAACCAGTTTTCTGAACAATAAAATATTTAAAAGGACATTAGAGGCAAATGATGTGAGCAATAACATTATTGTACTGAATATTATGATCCTATTCAAGTATTAGGCAAGAATTATCACTGATCTAACCCAAAACTGCTCGAATATTGAACATCGGTAATATTGTCATAAAAATGAGTGAATGCTAACAACACAGAAATACTATTCTAAATATTTGTTCCTTTGAGGTAGACTAACATGTGACATACGTATCAACATAAGTATTATACAATATATCAATAATTTTAAAAAATTAGTTTATTGTAAACAAGGCTCCCTACTTTGTTCCCCAAATTATACCTGGCAACTAGGTAAATCTTCCCCAAAAAGGTGGTGCTGAAGAAGGCTGGTGATTCTAAGGAAAGGTAAGCAGAAGTCTTGTAAGTATTTTTCCATGGATTCTGGAGACCAAGCAATAGGACTAACCTAGAGTTAAAAAAGAAAATTGAACAATTCATTTTATAGTAGATGTAGCTTTAAAGTTACATTTATAATGGTAATAAAAAATTTACTTTTGCTCAAAAAACATTACATCTGATCTTAGTAAAAGCATACCATTGTACACTCTTGAGTCCCTTCTTCATGGTATAACTTTCCTTTAGATAGTTCGCTTATAACAAAGCTCAATACCACTTCATAAGACTTTTCAGCATCAAATGTATTCTGGAAAAAGATTAGGGTATTAGTTACATGGGTCACTGAAAATTACACTGGAAATAATGCTTTTAAATGAGTAAAATGGTTATTATTTCAAGCATATGAGCCTGAATTCTTTGAAATCTGGGTAAAAGTACACAACTCTGGATTCACAGTGAAATTGTGTAGGTGGTCAAAGCTAGTACAATAGGTCTTTAAAACATAGCATATGAATTACAGAATAAGCAAATAAACATATGTAAATCATGCCTTTAATTCAACCTAAGGAAATACTTTTTAAGAGCCATATGCACAAGACAGTCATTGTAACATGATAATCACAAAAAAGTTAGAAAAGACTAACAAAAATGAGGCAGCTAACTAAATGATGGAATATGAACTCAACAGAATATTTTTCATAGGCAGTGATTATGACAATTTGAAAATGTTTACAATGTGATCTAAAAAGTATATATGTATTTTTTATAGTGGTGCAAATTATATATGCATATAAGAAAATCTATTTGAATCACAAAAAAAAGTTTTTACTTTACAACTTCCTTCAATTTTCTTGAAAGAGGATTTGTTAAAAACAATTTACTATAGGCCGGGGATTTAGCTCAGTGGTTCTGGCGCCTGCCTCACAAGCACAAGGACCCAAGTTCGAGCCCTGGTACCAAAATAACAAAAAACAAAAAACAATTTACTATAGGGGCCGGAGATTTAGCTCAGTGGTTCCACCACCTGCCTTGCAAGTGAAAGGACCCGAGTTGAATCCCCAGTACCAAAAAGAAAAAAAACAAAACAATTTACTATAAAAATAAATTAGGACAATATATGTATTACAGAATATACAGATAATTAGATTAAATTATGGTCTGCAACACAAGCTTACTACCTCCATTAATTTCATTAAAATCATTACACCTAAAGAAATGCACCTCATTTGATATTCAATGAAAGGGTATAATACGCAAGTTATACTAAAATAGGATAGAGTAATAACTTTGCTATGATGTCATTTACTAAACTTATTAACTATACTTTTTTTTTTTTTTTTTTTTTGAGACAGGGTCTTGCCTTGTAGTTCAGGCTGGCCTTGAACTCACTACATAGCCCAGGCTGGCCTCAAAGTCAGTGTTCCTCCTGCCTAAGTCTCCAAGTGCTGGGCATGTGCCACTATACCCAGTTTATACTTAAAAAAAAGAAAAAATACACATAAAGAATTGAGTAAACACCATGGAATATAAGTTTATCCTAAACTTTTATGATACTAATAATCTAAACCACAGAATTTGCTATCTGCTACTTAGTATTTCTACAGTTCCTCCTTGTCTCATCCATGTTAATGTATTCTTTTTAACTTGACTGTAAATTTCCAAATGTCAGGAACTATGCTATCTTCCATATATTCCTCTTCATAACAAAAATCTAAGCAATAAAGGTCTGCTAGCTAATGGATGAAATTTATTTTGATAATATCAAAGCTTTTGACTTTGGAACTTGTTTGGGTATGTCTTTTTTGAGAAATAATTACTTGTATAATTTTAAATTACTACTCTGCTTTCTGCTATATTCACTCAACAGTGGTATTACGCCCTGATTCTAAACTATAAAAATGTCCCTAACCATTGCTACTGCTCTCCTTAAACCATGTAATTCACTCCATCCTTGTCTACTTAACAGGATGATTACTTGCTAAATATGAAGACCTATAAGTTACATATATTGGACAAGAATCAATACCCTACTCAATATAAAAATAGCAACATATTATATTTTTAAAAACAGATTTAATCAAATAACTTAAGCAGAGTTCAGTTAAACTCAAAATGTAGAAAAATCAGAAGAAAATATAACTATGGATTTATTACTTATTAATAAATGTTACACATTTAAGACTCTCTAAATATACAATATAGCCTAAAAGCTCTCTACATTTAGGATATTCTTTTGAGTTAAAGATTTATAGAATATAGCAACATAAAAGTATTTCAAAGAAAATGACTTTGTATTCAGATCACTCATGTAAGTTGAGTGATAATTAGCTTTTAAATCATTACAAAATTCATTTTAAGCATTTATTGCACATATGACAAGTTCTGTATAAAATTGGAAAGTCAAATATATGGTTAAGATCACTGGATTACTCTGATAACTCTTCTCACCAAAGCAATAAAGGTGTTAAACAAAAGGACTGAGAATTGAGAGATACAAGAGAGTTTATGTTGAATAGAATACTTTGTCTAAATTATAGTGCTTTTGGCCTCTACGTTCATCAACAGATGAATGGATAAAGAAAATGTATTTATACACAATGTAGTACTACTCTGCCATAAAGGATAAACTTGCATCATTTGTAGAAAATTATTGCACCTGAGACCATAATGTTATGTGAAATAAATCATATACACAACCTTAAATATCATATGGTTTCTTTTATATGGGAACTCCAATATATAAATAAAGAGCAAAATAAAAGATAAAAAGAAATAGGGAGGAAGATCTTTCTCAAATGGGAAGGGACCAAGAAATGGAAAGAGAGAAGTAAAAGGGGAAAGGAAGAAAATTTTAAAAAAGAAAAAAAGAATTGAGATGTGTTATGTACATGTACCAACTGCCCATGAAGAATGTGACCATTATGTACTGCAGACATGTACTAATAAAAATAAATTGCCAGGGATTTAGCTCAGTGGTGCTGCTGCCTGCCTTGCAAGCACAAGGTCCTGAGTTCAATCCCTGGTACCAAAAATAAAAATAAAAATATATAAATTATAATGCTTTTTAAACTATGGGGGAATAGGCCCTTTAAGTAAATTCTGGATGCTATGATCTCACCTCTAGCAAACAAAACCCATCTAAGGACACCAGATTAAGAAATGCTGGTATCAAGACTCAGCAGAAATTCCACAGACCAAAAGAATGCAACTTACACTTGAATGATAATGATTTTTCCATCAGAACTAAACCTCATTGTCAAATTAATTCTAATATCCTTTCAAAAACTACATAGTACCTATATATATATATATATACACATATGTGTGTGTATATATATATGTATAAATATATATATATTTTTTTGGTACCGGGGATTGAACTCAGGACCTTGGTGCTTGTAAGGCAGGTGAGGGAACCACTGAGCTAAATCCTCGGCCCAGTACCTATATTTTTATTGCTCTAAGTCAGAGTAAATATGGCAAATAAATTTTCACTAGAATGACCATACCTAAACATAATGAATTATGACGATGGAATAATACAGTGAGATTTGCTAAATAAAGGTAGATAAGGGAAAGGGGATTTTTAAAAAAGTAAATAACTAAAACAAAAATGGAAGGAAAAGGAGGAATGAACTGTGTAGAAATCTAAGTACTTACAGAAGCCACAATGATATATTTCATTAATCATAAATATACCCATTGCTATTATTCACTGTTATGTATCTAAATGTTTAGATCTACTGTAGAAAAAGCTAATAACGTGGTAAAACAACCATCATAATTTTTGTTCCCATTCACTAAAGTATTTATTTGGTTATAGGCTGATATAATTCTAATTTATGTTCTGATAAGAACATGGCTCATAGTACACTATTACATGTTTTTAAATGCAGCTACCAATTATGAATTTGAGAAAGAAACCTGTCATAACAGTTACCTAAATTAAATTACAGCATGTTCCTTCCATCACAGATTTACAATTGTTTAATTCTATCAAGTTCTCATTTTAGCAAATTCTTAAATGAATATTTAGAACCAAATTATATCAACAAGTTTTAAGCGTATAATTTTTCATGATCAGACAACATACTAAGGAAACATTTAAACAGTGACACAATATAAGATTAGAATTCTATTTTATTACTAATTAATTATTGATTAGAATTCTATTTTAATACTAATAATCCAAATATCAGATTAGATAGACACAGAAAAAGCATTTGACAGAATCCAACATGCATTGACTTTTGGTGGAGTTCTTGGGGTCTTCTATGTACAGTATCATGTCATCTGCAAATAAT